GAGATTAAATATGTGAGCCAGCACTTCCTTTCTGTTTCTCTTTGAGACTGTAGCCCAGAGTTGCCTTGAATTCACAGAGATTCATCTGCCTCTGCCTCCCAAGTGTTGGAATTAAAAGTGTGTGCCATCACTGCCTGGCCTCCATGGTTAACTAGTGGTTTAGCTTTGCACTCTTCAGTCAAGCTTTATTTCTTAGATCACAAACAAAATATCACAACACTCCTCCACAATAGAACAGGCCACATGGGACAACCTGAATCTGTGTTACAGATCATGGTCACTCTTATTTGGTGCAGAATGAAACAGTTCTTATTCTTACTGGAGCAAGGTCTCTATTTAGCAGGGGGCACACACAGCTCAATAGCCCAAAGCATCTTGACTCATCAGCACTTTTGAGTTTTGCAGGACATGTGAAGGGAGGAAGATAACACTCATCTGTAGTTACACATCATGTACTTCATCCCATACAACTTCCAGAGACTCCATGTCTGCCCCTCATTCCTTCAGTATCTCCCACAAAGAAATCCCCCCACAAAAAATTAATTCAAAACAAAATGAAAGAAACAAACCTCCTCAATCTACCGTATTTCCTGCCTCCAATACCTCTTTATTTGACCTAATGGCATTGGGAAATGCAGTGTGTCATACAGTATACCCTTTTCTTCAATCATCCCTACCCTTAAATGTTTATTGCAATGAGTATTGGTCTGTTTCAAGGTCTCTGGCCTCTGGCACACCATCATCACTGGACCATATAGAAATCCTCTTTGGATATCCTGCTGTTGGCCCCACCTCTGTCATGGAGATCCTGAGGCTATCATTCTGCAGGACAAATCTTCTCACATACTACAGCAAGTCATAAAGCACAGATAGATGTTAGGAGCCAAGGGCCAGGATGTGGGCCTAGATGGTAGCTGAGCTCCTCAGTTTTGGCTGCTGGAACTGCCCCCCTCAGGTGAGGGGCAGAGCCAGCTCTCCTCCACCAATGCCATTAGGACAAGCTATCCCATGCCCATAGTAAATGATCTTTTGCAACTGTGGGACTAGTTCTCCCATGAGGGACTGGGCAAACTCTCCTGCTGCAGTGTCCAGTGAGGGATAGAGCCTGTTTTCCCAGGGCCAGTGAAGGGCTGAGTGGGGCTCAGCATAGCCTTTGGATATCAGCATGCATGGTTCCTATGGACCTCTGTGGTAACAGGGGCCATGGATATCATCACAGACCCCAGCAGGACCATGAATCCATACATGGCTCATGGCAGCATCTCAGGCCCAGACATTTCATCATCTCCTTCTTTAGAGTAACTTGTCAATTGTAAATTCCTCCTTCCTGTCAGGTCCTACCTCTTGAGTAGGTCAAGAAGAAGTTGTCACTGTTACTTTGAATGAGGAACATGCTCACATGTGTATTGCCCTGTTGGAAGTCCTCCTGGGGAGCACAGGAATAGGTGAAGGACTTTTATATATTACAGGGACAGACACATGAAGTGTTTATTTGGGGGAGATTGAGTGATACCAAGATGATCTACAGAGCTTATAATTTTAGAAGACTCTAGTAAAGAGTACTGATTATTGAATCAGCCTCTATGTGTGATTGTATAATATCTTTCTGAAAAGATTCTCACATTCTTTACTTGGTGCTTATTTTTAAGGTAATTTTCATCATCTTTATGTTTATATAACAGAATAAAGTACTATGAAGCAGTTCCATACTACCACCTTTCCCAGAAAATAGCCATATCATTTTCCACATTTTAGATATACAAATCTGTTTTTGTCCTACAGAATTGGTGAACTAAGTGACAGGAATAGAAGGATTGAGACAGGACCATGATGTGAGTGGAGCATCTTACTTAGGGCTTCTATTGCTATGAAGAGACACCATAACTACAGCAACTCTTATAAAGAAAACATTTAATTGGTGCTAGCTTACAATTTCAGAGGATTAGTAAATTATCATCATGGCAGGTTGTAGGGCACATGAGCCAGTCAAAGATGGTTCTGAGGGAAGTCAGATGGGCAAGTCCTGAGTTGTTTACAAAAAAAAAAAAAAGATGGTTGGTTTCCAAGATCGAACCAGAGAGGGTCACTGCATGAACAGCTCATGTTCACTAGGTAAAACCTAGAGCGCTGACCTTTAAAACCATTGGCTGGCTGTTTTCCTGCTTTGTGGGTTTTTTTTTCCTTTAAAAGATGCTTGCGGTGTGGTAATAAACTTTTCCTGCTTGACTAAACTCCCTGCTGAGTCTGAATGTGTTAGGGAGGCTGGCAACAGGCAAGCAGTGCAGCAGTTACACTTCCTAGGACCCAGCTCAACCTTCTGTGGTTGGGCTAAGAACTTGCAGCAGGTGGCATGCAGGTCAACATAGTGCTAGAGAAGGAGCTAAGAGTTTTGATTCTTGACCCACAGGCAGAAGAGGTTACTCTGTATCACACTGAATGTAGCTTGAGCAAAGCACACCCCCACAGTGTCAAACTTCATCCAACAGCACCATATCTACTCAAACAAAGCCAAATCTCTAAATAGTGCCACTCCCTTGGGGGAGCATTTCTTTCAAACTAACACATTTCACTCCATGGCCCCCATAGACTTGTAGGCATATCATAATACAAAAATGAATTCAGCCCAACTTCAAAAGTTCCTTCCTCATAATCTGTAAAAGTTTCAAACTTTTTAAGGTCTAGAGTTCAAAGTCTCTTCTGAGATTCAGGCAATCTCTGAACTGTAATCCCTTGTAAAATGAAAATTGAAAAGACGATCACATACTTCCAGCATAAAATGGCACAGCATATACATTACCATTCTAAACGGAGGAAAGGGAGAATAGTGAGGAAATACTGGACCAAAGCAAGATTGAAAACCAGCTGGGCAAACTCCAAACCCTGCATCTCCATGTCTGATGTTAAAATGTCCATCAGATCTCCAGTTCCTTTCATCTTTACTGACCTCAACACACTCTGTCTCTTGGGCTGGTTCCTTGGCAGGTATCCCATGCCTCTAGCATCTTCACCATCTTGAGGTTTCCAAGGCAACCTAGGCTTCATTTTCACAGCTCAAACAATGGCCTCTCTAGGCCTCCATCAGAGACACCCCTGACACATTCCTGGCCACATTAGTTTTCCTTAGCGGAGTATGAAGATTTCATAACTCTTTTCTTCTATCTTGATTCTAAAGATAGGACCATTTGGCCAACTCTGCAAAGTTCTTCTACTTAATGGGGCTGGAACTTGGACCCACCATTCAATTATATCTTTACCACCTTGCTGTTTTCTATTAATTCCTCTGCCTCCTAATTTCGGTTGTCCTGAAACTGGATCTGTAGACCTAGCTGACCTCAAACTCAGAGATCCTTCTGCCTTTGCTTCTGGAGTACTGGGATTAAAGGTGTGCCCCACCACACACAGCTCTAAGATTTTCTTTAATTCTTTTTCACAAGTTGGAATCTTTTCTGGGTATGGTCTTGCCTCTTCCTATCATCCTCAGCCTCATCCTCATCCTCATCCTCATCCTATCATCTTCCTCATCATCCTCATCCTGTTACCCTCATCCTCATCCTCATCAATCTCATCCTCAATATTCTAATCCACATCATCACCATCCTCCTTCTCATCATCATTATCCTCATCCTCATCCTCATTTTCATTCTCTTCATCATCATGATCATCTGATTCACTCTGCTTTTGACCAGTTCTGACCGGCTCCGACCAGTTCAATGCTGTTCAAAACTGGTTCCAACCAGTTCAGACTGGTTCAATCCGGGCCCCATCTGACTCCAAACGGTTCCGACCAGTTCAATTCGATTCACACTGGTTCAATATAGTTTCCACCAGTTCAACCTGGTCCAACTAATTCAACCAGTTCCAACGGGTTCAAACAGGTTCCGAAGGTTCTGACCAGTTCATGCCTTGTCTGATGTACAAGAAGACAAACAGATTCAGAAATGTAATATCTACAGCTGATAAATAAGATGAACTCAAAAGAGTTAATAGCACTTCTAAATACTAATGACAAATGGACTGAGAAAGAAATCATTAAAAAAAAAACCTTTACAATAGCCACAAAAATTATACAATACCTAGAGGTACCCTAACCAAGCAAGAGAAAAGACATGCATGGCCAAAATTTTGATGTATTCGAAGAAAGCAATAAAGAAGGTATCAGAAAATGGAAAGATCTCCCATGCTCATGAATCAGTAGAATTAACATAATAAAATGGCAATTAAAAAGTTATATACAGATTCAACTCAATACCCATCAAAATGCCAACACATTTCTTTACATACCTTGAAAGGACCATACTCAATATCATATGGAAAAACAAGAAACCCAGGATAGCTAAAACAATCCTGAACAATTAAAGAAATTTTGAATATAACATCAATACTTTTTTCCTATTTTGGTTATTTTTCTTTTTTAGACAGGGTTTCTTTGAGTAGCCCTGGTTGTTCTGGAACTCTCTCAGTAGATCAGGCTTGCCTTGAAATCAGAGATATGCCTACATTAGCCTCTCCAGTACTGGGATTAAAGGTGTGCACCACCACCATCATAAGCATAAATATTTTAATTTTGAAACAATTTGGGTCATACCTTACATTATGATTTACACATATATATGTATAAATAAAATATGGTAAAGTGAATTTCAGTAACTTTTAAATACAAGTTTCAGAGAAAATGTTTTCTTTATATGTAATGTGTAAATTGGAAAATCAAAAGGATCGTCTGTGGTGTAAGAGTTAATGACAATTCCAGTTACAAAAAGAAAAACTGTGAACCCGCTCTCTGAGGGCAGCAGTGAAAGAGGAAGCAAAGATGAAAACCAAACATGTTTAGAAAAATTCCCAGAAACTAGGAGAGAATGAGTTAACCAAATTGAAAAGACAATTGGAAAGTGAGGGGACGACATTCAGAAAATGGAAAATAGTGTTTGGTTTTTTTTTTTTTTCCTATTTAAGAGAGATGCTCACAGCATGGCCTTCAGAGAACCTAGAGGGGAAGGTTCAGGACCTCAGAGCCCAGAGGATCAGCAGCAGCTGCAACATCCACAATGGCTAAACCCTGTGCTTTCCTGATGGCCCTGGTGGTGATGAGCTACTGGTCAACCTGCTCTCTGGGATGTGAACTGTCTCCATCACCTAAGCCTGGGAACAAGACAGCCTTGACACTCCTGAAAGAAATGAGGAGACTCTCCCCTTTCTCCTGCCTGAAGGACAGAAAGGTCTTTGCATCGCCTGTGGAGAAGGTGGATGCCCAGCACATCCAGAAGGCTCAAGCCATGTCTGTCCTGCAGGAGCTGACCCAGCAGGCCCTGATCCTCTTCAGCTCAAATAAATCATCTGCTGCTTGGGAGAAAACCCTCCTAAAGCCATTCTGTAACAGCCTCCTCCAGCAGTTCAATGCCCTGAAAGCCTGTCTGATGCATCAGGTAGGGATGCAAGATTCACAGGTGGCTATGAAGAATTACTTTGACAGGATCACTGCCTACCTGGGAGAAAAGAACCACAGCCCCTGTGCCTGGGAGGTGGTCAGAGCAGAAGTCTGGAGAGCCATGTCTGCCTCAGCCAACTTACTGGCAACATTGAGTGAGGAGAAGGAGGAAGTCCTGAGCAAAGTGGAGAGGACTTTCCTGGCCTAGGACATTGCACCTCACTGCATAAATTCTCCTTTAAAAACTATCATTTATTTTAACATGAATTCAAACAGTGACCAGATGTTTCAGCAAAACAGGAAATTTTATCTATATGTAAAGGCATTTGTTTATGCATCCATTTGGATATATCTGTGTATTATGTGTGTATTTATCTTGCTATTTATGTAATTTAAGTTATGTAAGTGAAAACTTGCAGTTTTTATTGTCTTTAATGTTGGGAATCATCATATGCAATAAAATTATTTTGAATCCTATTCAATTTTCTGTATAAAACACTTGTGATTTCTTAATTCTGTTATCTTTTCAAATTTTCCAGTCTATTTATGTTGTTACTTTGCACCATAAAAATTGTACAAATGAACACACTGTCAAAAATTGCACAGGATACCTGTGAACACTGCACAGTGTTTACACAAACCCTAATCTGCCCCTCTACTTATCTCCAGCATATAGTAATCTCTGTATATATACCAGCATGCTGTCCAGTAAAAAGCCAGAGAATCAGGCTCCTGTGATATTGTTACTTAGTCTTCTTTGATGTAAGAAGTTAATCCCCAGTTAATCCCGTCTCAGACTCTCCTGACCTCTGGTACCTTAGATCTACTCTTGGCTTCTATGAGTTTTAACTGTTTTGGGTTCTAAATATGAGTGAGATCATGTACAATGATATCAAATGGATCACAGAAAACCGATTTTCCTGCCTGTTGAATACAGACAAACATACCAGGAATAAATCAGGAAATCAAAAATAGCCTCTAGGAGCATCTTTTGGAATGAATCCCACCAGGGAAGTGAAACCCTCTAAAATTTACCCTTTGAAACACCACTATGCCCTCTAAATTTCATTGGGTTTTTTCCTCCCCATCCCCCTACTCTTCCTCCTCCTCCTCTTCATCCTTCTTTTCTTGGAGCTTCTAGTTTTGCATGAATGGACACAGGGCTAACTCCTGGAGCTTAGGTAGTGCCATTTAGGGGCCCCAACACTAATCTCTCTCAGCAGCCACCCGTTACCATACTTTCCCAGCAAGAGATGGAATTTCCTTTGTTTTTCCAAACTGAGATATTGTGTGACTTAGTCTTGTTCATTCAGTCACGGCCACTCTCAATTCATTTGTGCAGCTACCCTGCTGTGTCCAAGACCAGTGCTTTGCTGTAGGCATCCACTGCCTCTGGCTCTTACAGTTCATCTGCTCCCTCTTCTGCAATGATCCTGGGGCCAGGAAGTCAGCCTTTTATTTTCTGTTCAATGATCAGTTGTGGGTCTCTGTGTTAATTTCCATTGACTGGAAGGGTTTATAATCCTGCAGTGATGCTTTCTTAGGCATATAGCTGTAATTTGAATTCATGTATAGTGACACTAGCAATATAGCACTACATTTATTCTTAGGTATCTGTATGTCTCCATATGTATTTTAAAAGTGATAACTCTGGAAGAAACATAATTTAAATTTTGATTTTGATTGTGTGGTGGTTTTAATAGGAATGGACCAATAGATTCACGTTTTTGAATCCTTGGCCCATTGGGGAGTGGCACTATTAGAAGGTGCAGCCTTGTTGGAGTAGGTGTGGCCTTGTTGAGGTAGTGTTCACTGTGGAGGTAGGCTTTAAGGTCTTATATGCTGAAGCTTGGCTTAGTCTGACAATCTCCTGCTGCTGCCTGTGGATCAAGGTGTAGAACTCTCAGCTCCTTCTCCAGTACCATGTTTGCCTGCCTGCTACCATTTTTCCCACCATGACTTAACCTCTTAATATGTAAGCCATTCCCAATTGAATGTCTTCCTTTATAGGAGTTGCTGTGGCCATGGTTTCTCTTCTTAGCAATAGAAACCCTAAGTCAGATTACATATAGCATGACGATCCCTGGGAGCTAAAGTTACTTTCATAACATGATTGTATTTAATCAACATAGATCTTTCCCATTGAATCTTAGTAGCTAATGTGTTGCTACTGCTGTCTCATTTGGATGACTCACCAGTTCCTTTCTTCAGCTTTTATTTCCAATGACATATCTTTTGGTTCATTGCCACAACCCAACATCAGGGTTTTCTTTCTAGGTAAGTGGAAAATAAAAATAAAACAGATGTGGAGACTTTACCATTAAACCAACACTTGAAGGAAAGATAGAAAGACTTAATGGAAAAGTATAGACTGTTGAAGTACTGAAAGCCTTTGCTGTCTGTCAGAATAGTTTGAACACCTCTACAATTAGACACATTGGAAAGAAAGATTAATCACTGAAATCAATATCCAATAAAGAATTGATGGTTTACAAATATTTCATATAGGGATCAGTGTCCTAGACTAAAATATCCACCCCACCCACACCTGTAGCACTGACCATGCTTGTTTGAGTGTGGTCACAGTTGACATGATGGAGGGTAGGACTAGATCTGGGGTCCCAGACCCCAGAACACACTCTTGCTTCTGGTCAGGTCACAGAGAACAGTCTGGGAGGATCCTTGGCGCTGGAACCTGTGGCAGTCACCTGCCTCTTGTGTAAGTGACTTCTCCCTGAAATAAATTATATTTAATATTTGAACCTAGTCCCATGAGTCATAATCTGTGCTGCCACATTTGGAGAAGAAGAGAGGATAGCTATCCAGTAGCTATCCAGAAAGAACCATCATACAAAGAAGAGTCTCACATATGGTATAACATTTATACTAAACTTTTGTCTTCTGTTTCTCTGCTTCCCAGCACTATCATAGTCCCTATTCACATAAAAATCAGATTTGGCTTTGGATTTGCACTTGGCCCTCCTTCTCCAAATTCAAACATGGTGTTTAAATAAAATTCAGAGTTTTCATCTCATATCAAAAGGTCATTGGTGAAAGACAGAAGAAAACAAAATCTAGGACTACTATTGTCTGAATTCTGTATTCTCTAAAATCCTAATTTTCCTCATTCTTAATTTCATCCTTATTATTACCTTTCCCTGTATGTTTACCTACGGAAGTTAAACTTTCTGTGCCAGTATTAGTGTTTAAGTCCTCCACAGCAAACAAAAATATTCGTAATAGCAATCTTTGAACTCTTCGGAAAGAAGATGGGGCCCCACTTCATCGATTCCACTTGATTCAACTTGATGCCTCTGGACTAACAAACCCTAAAACTGGTTTGGGACAATAAGGCTAGAGACAACTCCATGCTAGCTAGCTGAAATGGTGCACCTTCTTAAGACACCCTGGGCAGAGCTTCAGAAATGAGCTTCAATCAAGCATCTCCTGCCACTCAGAGTCTAGCTACAAATGTTACAGCTAGTCCTCTCAAGACTTTTTGTTGTTCTAATTTTTTTTCCTACAGGATCCCATGGAGTTTGCTGTCCCATTTCAGCAGGAAGCAATCCCAATAAAACAGCACTCCTTTTCCCTACTGTTGGCTTTAACAGATAGTACTCACCTGCATAGGGTCGGTTTTAGTTGTTTAGGGTTGGGTATGGTAGGTGATGCTCAGACTCGGGAATCTCTTTTAGATAAGTTTAAGGGTGTGGATGGGAAAGGTATGGTTAAGATGGGATATAGGTAGATTAACATATTTTCTAGTGAACTAACTTTAGCAGCTGTTAGCTATAGATAAATTAAATTTTTAGATTATTGTATATTGATTGTTTAGGGTCTTCTTTCTGTTTACAAAGTTTTACACACAAATATAAAACTATCTTGATGTATATAATTTTTTTATATTGATACAACTTAGGATATTTTCTCATATTGCACTACACAGTTCTAACAGTTCTAACTCTAGCCAAGACATTTCAGTTCTATCTCTGTTAATATATATATATATATATATATATATATATATATATATATATATCTCTGTTAGTGAGAAATATATATACATATATATGTATACACATTTTTAAGTCATTGTCCTTGCCAAATTATTTTGGGAAGCTTCAGCCTTTGTACAACTATGTTTCCGAGAATTATAGACTTTTACCACCCATGTTTCTTATCTATGAGATTAGCCAGACATAGATATTTGATCTTCAAGCACTTCATAGACCTGAAGAATATGGCATTTAAAGGTTTTAATATTATTACTCCGTTTACATGAGACGCAATTGCTCCTGACGGCACCCAGCTTTCCCAAAAAGATGTTAGGCACTGTTTATACTCCTTCTGGAGTCCATTCTTTCCTCAGCTAATGGCCTCTTGGGCAAAGAACTGCCCCCACCTTGACTGCTGACTTTGGACATGCTGTCCTACTGTGCTTGCAGGAGATAAACTTAGAAGACTGCTGGGCCTTGCCAAGTCAGGCTAAGACAGCCTTTCTACCTCCCTGCTTCTGTGTTGATCAGTCAGATACTTTAGACCTTAGCCAAAGCTGGTTGCCCCAATGCTGCTGTGAGACTTTGGGTGACTGTCCAGGTAGCCTGGTGTCTCTATCTTCCCTGCACCTTTTGGAAGTTGGTCGCCTGCACTTCCTGCCTACCCTAGTATTGTTATCCTCCTTCTCAGATCTTTGATGAGGTTGAAGATTAGACTGTCACAATTATTGTTCTCTCTTCCTAGATAGAAATATTAGGTACAAGACTTAAAACTTTCCAGCTTAGGACAATTCTATAGTAATCTCTGTTATGCCTTTACCCTAGGACTGAATATGTAGTTCTTGCCATTTGTTCTTGTTGCTTCACTGGCAATAGGTCTTAAGTGTGTTTTTCTTACTTTCCCTTCTCCTAGAACATACTTGATATTTGCTATCTTTGCATATAGTTTCATATCAAGCCTAAATCTCTTTTTAGACTACAAGGGGAATTGTAGTGAGATAAGCACCCACCCACACCTGTAGCACTGACCACACCTGTTTGGGTGTGGTCACAGGGGCAGACATGAAGGAAGGTAGGACTATATCTGGGGTAGTGGACACCAGTGAGGTCTCTTCCTTCTGGTGAGTCACAGCCTGGGTGGATCGGGGGAGCTAGAACCTGCAGCAGTCACCTGCCTCTTGTGTAAGTGACTTCTCAGGGAAATAAATTATAT